CATGGGGCCCATATATAAAGCCCATATAGGGATCACTTGAGCAAACCCGTTCGCTGGGAATGTTAATAGTAAAACTAAATAGTTTTTTATGATCAAAATAAAACATTTGTTGGTGTAATGTAATAAAAGTGATAAATTTTGAACTTTGTTTTTTTATCTTTTTTTTGGGCTGACGACGGAGATATTTTCACATTTTATTACCACATTAATTTGAACTTTGGCCCATTTTTTTATTGTATTAGTATTTACAACATGCACTAGATTAGTATTTTCTGATTCTCTCGTTAAGCATTTTTAAAAGATTTTGTGACCTCAAATACCTCATTTTTTGCCCAAATTTACAACTGTTCCAATATTTTAACGAGTTTTAGACACAACTTAAATCTATTAGTCCATGACACAATAAAATATATCATATAATAATATATCACCAGTCAAAAATTCAATCATAAATTATAAACGGCTGCTAAAAAATCTTCATTGTTCCTTACCCCATATTTTGACCTTTAATCATTAAGAAATAATAATTGAAAATTTTATTTTGAATTTTTAATTTTTTTTAGCTTTCTAATAGTATTTCAAAACAAAAAAAAAAATTGAAAAAGTTGAGTACAAATTTTTTTCCTAATTACATAAAACCCCCTTCAAAAAAAGTCTATATTTACATAAAACTCAAAAAAGTAATACATTTAAATACATCTTTACGACACATATACCAAACGCGCTGGGATAAAATAGTCCATTTTGACTACAAAATTACGATACTGTAAAGCGACAGTTAGAAATGCCTCGAAAAGATAAATCTGCGCATCTAGCGTTGTGATAAATTTTTTTTTAAAGCATGAAGGCCTTTTCTTTCATAATTATTAAGCTGGCTTCAATAAGCTCAACGTTTGCAGGGTGCGAATTCACAACTTTTGCATAACTCTTACCTAGCTGAGCAAAAAATACGAAAAACTTCCGCAAATTATTTTTTGCGTGATTATTTGGTATTCACAACTTTTGCGCAGCATTTGCGTAAAGTTAAGGTGGCGCATGATTTACGCAAAACTTAAGCAAAAACTTACTCAAAATCTTACTCAAAAACTAACGCAAAAACTTACGCTAATATTTTACGATAATTTGATATAAATAAAATAGTTCTACTACTATTAATTTTTGTATTAAAACTTTTTATTATAGTGTCAGAAAGCAATAAAGATTCAAAAAAAAGAGCTGAAAATCAGACGAATGAACAGTTAACAGTTTTGATTAAGCTGTACAAAAAGAAAAAGCAATTGCTTGATGGAAAACTTTCTCCTTGTAAAAAAATTATTTTTTTATTAAGATTTAGTATATAATATTAATACAAAGCTTTCAAAGCTTATTATTTTAAAATTACATAAACATTGTTTTCAGTTATCTCTAAACTTACAAAATACGATGCATAGAGTAAATTGCAGACCAAGTTTCCCTTGTTTTTCAGATCGCACAGTTCAACAATGCAAAAGGAAACTGTCTGATCAGAAATCAGACAGCAAAGACAAAGAAACACGAATCATATTTAGTATGAAGAAAACTGGTGGGGGTGAGAAATGCTTGGAAGAGCTCAACTTTATCGATCAGTAACTGGTATACAAAATGCCTAGGGTTTCTTACATGGTAATACTTTAATCATAGATTTTACCCAGCAAAGTTTTTTTTTGCGCATAAAAATAATTTTTATATTCTAAGGAATATCCGGCGGTGTTGACACTCTTCAAAGTTCCACAGCATCCTATGATTCGTTTACTGCGTTTTCCTTAGACTCTTCAATATTTTCAGTGCCACCGGTGTTGCACGATGCAACTAAAACTACAGAAGAACTGCTAGTTTCTGACGCATTAGCTAGTCCATCTCCGTCTACGATAATTATAACAAAAGATATACATTCAAAATAATTATGGCTATAAACATTAAAAAAAAATGTTAAAAAAACTGTTTTATTTATTATCATTACTTTTATTCACTAATTTTATTCATTTTAGAATGTTGAATCTAAGCCAAAAAAGACATCTAAAATATGGAAACTATCGCCATCAAATGTAGATAATTACATAAACAACATGTCCAAGCTTGGTGAACAATTTGTTGCAACCGAACAGCAAATAGCGTCTGCTCGTAATCCAACTATGCAAACCAATCAATCTTTTTTGGAAAGTATGGCTGTAACCTTGGGACGCATTGCTGAATCAACAGAAAATCTCGCGAACTCATCTGAAAAGATTGCAAGTGCTTTAAAAGAGATTGCTTAAGTAATCTCAAATAACCAATAAATGTAAATTATTTTTTTTTGTCGACTGATAAATGATTGCTTAACCCTTTCAGGCCCAAGGTATGACAATTACCTGCATTTTAAAAATCTTCTTAAGATTTTATATAATTATAGGCACTAATAGCATAACATTATAAATTTTTCCTTGGCCCTCGTTTTAGTTGCCATGGAATTTATAACGGGACAGATATAACCCGATAGGCTAAATGGAACTAATATATCTATGTATATATATATATATATATATATATATATATATATATATATATATATATTACAATTACTTTTGAGCTGCATTTAGGTAGACTGTCTGGGTAGGTGAAAACTAATGCTATTATCTTTCAATTTCTTGTAGACAACATAAGCATCTCAAACAGTCCTATCAATTAGGCCAAATAGAATGCGGTGCCACCACTTTAGTGATTTCTTAAATGCGCCATAAAGAGAACAAAGCATATCAGTTTTGTCGACACCCTTCATATAAGTGTTATAGTCTTTTACCGCCTGAGGACATGAGATCATCACAATACTGCCATCTTCATTTTTTTGTTTGGTCTCTGTTTTTTCAGTGCCATGAAAGTTTGATATGACATGCACTGGTCTAGTAAAGTTATTATTCAAACTGTCTATCAATGGACGTAATTTAAATAATCTATCTGTATTGTCAGCTGGTATTGCAATGTTGTTGTTTAAATGTATATTTGAATAAATCTATTTCGTGGAATGATATCTGAAACAAATGGCACTATCAAATCGGTTTCATTACTCTAGTAGTTTCTTCAGGAAGGAAGCTTATGATACCCCATTACCATATTGATTCCGATAAAAGCTTTTTAATTGTTTTTTGTTATCACTGGAACTTTTTTCTGTAACTGATGTATATACAAGTTACTCTGATAAGTAATCGATTCCATATATTCATCGTCAAAGTATTTTAAAAAATAATCTACTAGGTTTTCGCAATCATCAAAATGTTTGATGATTGCGAAAACCCAGTAGATTCACAGGACCTGTACATGAACAAATGATTCAAAATTATTTTAATTTATCATTACTAATCATTAATTGATACAATGATTAGTCATTAATTTATGTAAAATATAGAATATATTCAACATGTTCTAACATCTTTGATGCCAAACAGAAATCTATCAAGTACCTACCTTGAGGTTCATGAAAATCAAACGAGATCATCGTTTTTTTTTACCACTTTCAGTCTTGATCCACAACAGAATTGTCTTTGTTAGATGCAAGATCATATGAACTACCAGAATTATCTGGTAATGCTAAATTATTATTTTCATTGTTTTAAATGGAATCAAAACTTAACTTTCTGTTAACTTGCTCGTCTTGAATTCGGTCTACTAATACAAAATCTTCATCCTCAAAATCTGATAATTCCAGATCACTGTAATTTTGTATTGGAATATCTTCTAAAATAATATTCGCAACTTCAGCAGCAGAGTACTATCTTTTTTGACTCATTTTTTCACAAAACGTTTTTACTAAAAGATTGCAAAAAACAAACATTTCATTCAAGACTTCCAAAAGCCTGACGGGATTTGTCCCACAACTAGTTACCAAAAAAAATAAAACAAAAATCATAATGCAGATGTAAAGTGTAGATTATTTTTATTCTACTAAGATTAAATAATTAAAAAAAAAAGTATCAAAGGTATAGCAGGATTCTTTTAAGAACTACATATTATAATGTAGCTTACTAAATTTATGCAACATATTTTGATTGTAACTGTTTTATGATTTAAAAAAATAATTTCAAAAAACCCGTAAATGAGACAAAAAGTTGTTATGAAGTATTGCCGAACTATGTGACAAATGTTTTGATTTATTTTCAAACGAATAAATAAAACGAATAAACAAAAGATGAACTTCTATATAGTTTTAAATGAACCGGGACATTTATGTCCCGTCGGGCCGGAAGAGATTAATGACTTTATTTATTATTTAATAAAAAAAAAATGTTTACCCTCACCTAAAAACAAAGTTTAAAATATAACAAAAAAAATATAACCCAAGAGGAATCCTCCCCACAACTTCAATAAAATTGTAGGGTTTATTTTGAATTTAAAAGAGTAATATTACTCTTTGCACCCTGCTACGCTAATTGACTCAGCAAGTATTCAAAATAATTTAAAAAAACGAACTACAAACTTCACTATATACACACCACCGAAACATAGAAAGCAAAGCCAAACATAGAAACTCATAAAATATAGTTAATAAAGTTAGTTAATACTCACATAACGCTCAGAAACATATATTTAGTAAATAATATAGTAATAAATAGCTAAAAAAGATTTATTGAAATGTTTCTTTCTCTTATCATAAAAGATAATTTTTACATAAAACAAAATTATTTTTCAAATATAATATGAGACTCATTGATGTCTATAATTCATGATACACATTGATGTCTATTAGCAAACAAATAGCTCTTTAAATTATCTCTTCTAATTATACTAAGATAAAGTTTGATGGTTTGTCTTTGACCAACACTAAAACAGTTGCCATTATCTTCAGTGCTGCCATCAACTGCATCCTCAACAACCTCTATGTTGTTTGGATCTTCTAAACCAAGTGACATGTTTTAGAGTCACATGTTTTCGAGTATTACACAAGTAAAAATTATTGAGCAGCACTTGAACGGGGTATACAGAAGTGTTCCACCACTTTTATGTAGACACCTCTATCGGTTTTTAAGACGTCCAAAAGAACGTTCTATTTCACTTTGAACCCTTGAGTGGATTTTGTTATAAAATATTTTTTCAGGGTTTAATAGAGGATTAAATGGAGTAATCACGACATGTGATAACCCATAGCCTGAATCACCAAAAAGAAACCCTGAAGCTGGATCAACCTCCAATGTCTGTTTCAAAGTTGAATTTGAATAAATCAAAGAATCGTAACATGATCCCGAAAATTTGATAACAACATCTCGGAACTGCCCGTCCGGATCAACAACAATTTGGCAATTTATAGCAGAATAGCCCTTTCTTTAAAATAAAGTTACACATGGTTAGTAAAATAAATAAATTTTTATGAATTATATTCTAAATATAGAACTGAAACTAAACCTTTTTAAATCTTAAAGAAAATAAATCTAAATTAATAAAATAAATGTTTGCATCTAGTAGCATATTTCAAATTCAATACCTCCCCTCATATTGAATGAGCCCATAGTAAAAAAAAAAAGTATGCTCTCTAAAAAAAAGGGAAATACTCCAAACCTCAGTGGATCTCTTTAGCTAATAAGAAAAAGGTCCCATCTTACTTGCAGCAGCTGAGCAATAGCTATAAACCCATAGTAGCAGGGAGATCATTAATAATTATTTATCTATTATTCTATCTATTTGTATCATTCCTACTTACAGTAGTTATCATTTACAAACATTTTTTTACCTGCAAATGAAAGCTGGCTCACCAACCCCAGTGGCCCCTTTGATAGACACCATTGTACTATCATTTAGGCCCAAAAGACTTTCAACTCCAAAATCTTTAAAGTATTTTCTTTTTACTTCACTCTTTAGCTATAGTATTGAATAAAATATTTACAAAATTGATGCATTGTTCTACTGATGCTTGTCTGGCTTATTTCAAAAGTGTTTCCTAAATTTAAATAATAATACATTTTAAATGTTTTATTCAGATGAAGAGACCTCTGAATTGTTTATATTTACTAAAACATTTTTCTACATTTATGGTTATATTCAAAACATGCAACCTTACTTGGTGATAAAATATGGTTGAGATAAAACAGTTGTTGTGGGATAATAAAGATGTTAGGTTAATTTTTAAGATTATGTTTGGTTTTTTGTCTTAAGAAATCTACAATAACTTATATATACTGCTTTAAAGATCAATGTGCAAAATTCAGTAGGAATAAAGTGAAGAATTACCTTATTTAATATTTTTGTTTGCATTATTAATGCAGTTTTACACATTAAAGATATAAATTAATTTATACATATTAAAAGTTCTTACATAGAGTATTATGAAAGTAGCTAGAAATCTTAGCGCAACAAGAACTTTGATTTCTGGGGAAATAGAGTTGTTTTTATCCGTTATTGGAGACAAATCATCATTTAGATGATTTAGTGTTAATAATTTCTGATATTTTATGCAGTGGTAATCGAAATTTATGACGAAATTGAACATACAAAAAATCATTAAGGACAGTGCGCTGAGCTGTTTTCCAATTTTGATTTTGTAATTCAATTTCTTGAATCAATTTAAAATCCATTTCAACTAAATTAATATTATCAAACTAATCAATATGAAAAAACAATAACTATAGTAACAATGAATTCATATTAGTAACAGATATATTATTTTTATTTACAATATACATACGATTTTACTAACACTGTGACTGTTTGAGATAAACTTTTGTTGTTTTAATTATCTTTTATTATATATATATATATATATATATATATATATATATACATATATATATATATATATATATATATATATATATATATATATATATATATATATATATATATATATATATATCTTAATTTTCCTAAATAATATTAAAATTATATTAGAAAAATGTTGTGAGTACCATTTTTTAGACTTTTTGCGTAAGTAAAAACTTAGGATTTTCGTAAGTTTTTGCTTTAGCAAGGTTTGTGAATATGACTGCGTAACTTTTAACCTAAGCAAAACTTACGCAAACTTTACGCAAGTTTTACACTAACGAAAGAGTTAAGAATTCGCACCAGGGTGCTCTTGTAAAATTGTCGCTATTGAGGCAATATTTAAGAATAAAATGTTTTTCTGCGGTTTACTAAAATATTAAAGTAAATAAATTTAAAAATTATCGGTGTGAAATAGATAAATATGTTAAGTAGTCAATTTAAAAACGATCGGAGCTTTACAAGTACAGATAATTTAACATAATATATGTATATATATGTAATTAAATATGTATATTAACAATATATATATATATATATATATACATATATATATATATATATATATATATATATATATATATATATATATATACATATATATATATATATATATATATATATATATATATATATATATATATATATATATATATATATATATATATATATATATATATATATATATATATATATATATTATATATATATATATGTATATGATATATATATATATATATATATATATATATATATATATATATATATATATATATATGTATATGATAATTAACAAACAATAATGAGTTCAGCTAATTTTATGGAGACCACTTAGTATTAATGGCGATCAGCAGCATTGGATGAGGAAACCGAAGATTTTTTTTCCAGTCATTTATTCATTAAATGATTAGCTATTATGAAATATTTAAATTAACGATTTATAATTAGAGCAATAACAATTATTGAAAATACATACCGAGCAAGCAACGATAATGCATTGTCTTTGAAAATGCTTTTTTCCCGGATATTCCATCCTTGCTAAATAGGTTTTGGACTTCACGAGCCATTAAAGCATCTAATGCAAGCCTTACAGATGCTCGCAAATCCTTACCTCCTAGTGTCTTTATAGCTATTTTCTGTATAATAAAAGTTAAAATTTTATTTTGATCAGGGAAAACATTCTTTTCAAAATATTCTAATTAACTCACATAAAAAAGTCAAAAAATTTAGATGCCTGCAAAAAATTGTTTAAAAAAACAGTATAAAAAAAGTTTTGATGCGGCAATTATATCTTATGTACAACTCAAGGCTGCGATGTAATAACAACTTACAACTATGAAAGGTATCATCGCCTCCATCAAAAGTTTGTATTATTTTTTTAACTTCTAATTTAGTTTACAAAGATTACTCCTTTAGACATTTTAATCTGTTTTAAACGAATTTTCATCCTAATTCCAGCTCATAAATTTTAAACCGTTCGATACTATATACTAGACGGTAGATATAGTAATATATGGCCTTCTTAAAAACCTTTATAGAATGTTTAAAAAAACCAGCAAAAAAAAAAAAGATATATATATTTTTATCTATGCATCCAAATCCTCAACCTAATCACTAAACAACCTTTATAGAATAAAACTTGTAGAATAGAAAATTATAAAGGCATAAACTAATTGAGAAGTTAATTAAAAAAATGTATTTGTTGCATATGATAATAATGCTTTATGAATAATTACCTTTTTATCTCGGTATGTTTTATTTTGAAGTTTTATTTCCTCTATGTCGAACTCTTCAATTGATAGCATAGGTTGCATGTCTTCCACTACAACACTTGCATCACCATTACCACCATTAACTAGAGATGCTAATGAATTTGTAATCTGGATTTGGTTATCCTCTAATTGTTCCAATTTCATTAACATAACATACTGAAACTCTAAAAAACAATTATGCTCATGTTTATAATGAATTTATAACTAAAAAAGAAATTAAATTAAAATAGAAATGTGGACAAAAAATCAATGTGTTGAATAAACATACGTTTATTTGTCATCTCCTTGAATCCGGCTCCACCATCAGCAAAAGTAATTAAGGATGTTTTACGAGATGATCTACTTTTGCTAGCAGAGCATGAAAGAGGAGAGGTTTCTAAAAGTTCTTCTCTGTTAGTTCCACCAGAAGATGGTGATACAATTAAAGCAGGGTGTGTGGTGTGTGGGTGTGCTGCTTTTTTATCTTTGTCTTGCTTTGAATTAGTATACTTAATTTTTTGCATAGATGAACTTAAAAAAGAAGATGATGATATAAAGACAGGAAGATTCTCTTCTCTGAAGTGTTTTCTATCTAAATTTACATTAGTAGAAGACTCTTTCTTATTGTATGATTTCTTAACTTCTAAAACTGGACTTAAAGTCCGAGTGTGTTTCTTGGGCAATGCCATATATATATATATATATATATATATATATATATATATATATATATATATATATATATATATATATATCCATATATATATATATATATATATATATATATATATATATATATATATATATATATATATATATTTATATATATATATATATATATATATATATATATATATATATATATATATATATTCATATATATATACAACTCTAAATCTAATTATACAAAGTAAATTAATGAATAACTATTGATTTTTTCTCATATTCTTTGAATCTAAAGTAAGAAAAAAAAAGTTGCCTTTAACCTCTGATATAAAATATTTTATATCAGAGGTAAAAAATATGCAATTAATCTAAAGAAAAAAGAAAACATCAAGTACCGTTGCCATCATCAGAAGATGAAACATCCTCAGCTGTAGTTGCAAAATCAACCAACTCCTGTGCTTCCTCGCGAGTGCCTTGGTGAAGCAAAAACTCCACTATTGGGTATGTCACCCAAGTAAGCTCAGGCGATTCATGTTGTTTAAAATAGAAATCTAAAGACTTAGATTCATTTAGTGGCCAGAAGATTTGCTGATTTAAAGTATCAACCCATGGGCAGGGCACAATGGTTTTCCACTCTGTGCCATTTTCTTGGACAACACATGCAGCCCAATATCTAAAGAAAAGATAAGCAATATTATTCATTGCAAAGTTAATCAATTTAGACCATAATTACTCATTCCTTATAGCGATTATCCAAAATTCTGGAACATATCCTTTAAAAACCCTTTAAATGTACTCCCATTTTGTATGAATATATTGAAAGCAAACAAATATTCATAACAACTAAGGGCGAGGAGCAGGAACCTTAGGAGCCAGAGGTTTATGAAAAAAATTAGAGCCATGGGGGCCGAAATGAGCCAGAGACCATAATAAATGACCAGCTACTCTGCTCCATTCAGCTACTCTGCTCCATTTAGCTGTTTGTGTTGTAGATTTCTAGTCTTTCATCCAAACCATGTCTATGTGATAATTTATAAATAAACTAATAAAACTGGTAATGGTACTTACATTCTATCCTCAAAATGTTTTTTTTTTGTAAAGAAAAAAAAAGAAAAAATGATGAGCCCAAGAGTAAATACTTGGAAGTTACTTACCTTTACATACTTGAAGCGGAACCATACCTTTTTTCTCCGCCTCATTTAATATTAACATTGTCTCACCCACCCCTAATAACATTGAATAAAAAAAAAGATTATAAGGACATTTATTTATTAAAACCACTCCAACTTGTTTATACATCATGCATTAAAGGTATTATAACATAACTATTTCGATATGGTAAGCAAACACATTTTCGAATTATATCAGTTCTTTGAATAAAACATTTTATGGAGCAGGCATTTTCTTTAATATAATATATGTCAAGGTCTCTTGAGTCAACAAAATGGGTAAAAAAATATTTAAGTGCAGATTTTGGATAAAATTCACATTGAAAGCCTCCATCTCGACATATAGCAGTGACTTTAACAATACCATTCTGAACCAAATAACATGAATCTTTTTTACCAACTCGTATCTTGAAAATATTTCCTTCCTTTAAAGTTGGATTATCTTCAAGCTCACTTAGCCTCATAACAATTTGCATAACTGAATTATGTTTTCCCCGAACTAATCGTTTTATCTCATACAAGTAGTTTTTAAACTGAAAAGCAGATATTTCATCTAAACTACACTGAAAATATTCCACATCATCAGCAATGTGTAACAGTCCATGTACATTATATACACAAAAAGAAGAGCCATAATGCTTTTTGGAATTGTTAACAAAGTAATTAAGTAACTGTCTAGCCGACTCAATGTTACTATTTCGTTTAATAGCGTTCTTCTCGCATAGCATTTGAATAGCAACTGACAAACTCAAAAAATGCTTGTAACTTTGTTTACTTAACACACTTTTCAGTGCAACCAAACCAGTGTAAAGAAGAAAACTACATAGCTCAGTAGCTTTCCACCAATTCAATTCTGATAATGACCTTGGTTGGCGGACAAAGTCACTTGGCAATTTTCCATTAAATTTCAATAACTGCTCAGAAATTATATTTTGCTGTGCAGAAGACAACCGACCATCAAATATACCACTATATGTACCTTTAAAAATATATAATGTACGCCGTACCACTCTAAGACAAACTAAATGCATATAGTCTAATACAAAATCTTGTATAAAATTAATTGGCAATGGAAGCAGACATGAATAAGAGTGTTGATGTCGCTTCCCACTGTTATCTGGAAAGGAGTAAGAATGGTTAGAAAACATGTCATTATTGCGTAAAGTAACATTTTTTTCTAAATCATTAAACACAGTCCTTTTGTGTTTTTGGATTCCTCTTATAGTGCATCTTTCACAAGAGTAAAACCCAGTATGGTTAACAATGCCTTTTAATAGCGCTCTTGCTGGGGCATCACATACAAAGCAAAATACTGATAAAATATATTGTTTACCCTTGATGTTTAATACTGATCTAGACAAAAGTTCCTTCAACTCTTGAACAAATTCTGAAAGAAATTTTGACATTTTTGGTTTACATTTGCCACCAAATAAGCCTACCATAAATGGTTTAAACTTTCCAAACTGAAGTAAGATCGGCCATCGTTGATACGAGCTAGAATTCCATATAGGTAGACCATCTATATTTATATTTAAACATATATTCTGCGATTGATATTCATGTAAACTCAATATTCTTTTGATGTTATTTTCTATACCAAAATATACATATGCCTCATCATCAACAACCACTATATTATGTGTATTCTTTGTACCTAATACTGTACGAGAATCCTTGGGTAAAGAATGGCCTTTTTGACTAAGAAGCATTAACAAATCATTCATACATTGCCGGGTACACCCATGTTTTAAGGACCAAAGTTTTAATGATTTACAAAACAGAGAATCAAATTGGGAATCTGGAAAAAGATCATTCTCTTCTTTCGAGTTTTGAGAAATACTTTCTGTAATTGATTCACAAGATCTTATATCAGCATTCTCGTCACTGTTTGCCAAAACAGAATTATTAAATGACTCACTGGAAGAAATGCTGTAAATATTGCCGCTACTATCATTGTTGCCTGAACTTGAAAAGCTGCAGTTTAATGCAAAACATTGACTATTTGAACAATAATGTCTATTAGAGCTAAAACTTGGAATTTCTCTATCATTTTTAACTTCGTGTTGGCTGAGAGAAACCAATTCAGATAAAGCACGCACAGTACTACGACGACGACGCCATCGAAAAAGTCGGTCCCTTTTGACAAAATTTAAAATAAGCATAATTAAATTACATAAAAAATTTGAAAAAAGTCTTGGCTTGTGGGAGATACTAAATTAAATCATTATTAAACAGGTAAAAAATTAAAATTGGTGTGGCTAAAAGACAAAATCATGTGTTCATTAAAAAATAAAATAAAAAGGAGGAGGAGGAACAATTCAACCATTAATTTTATTATTTATTATATTAAATTATTTCTTACAAAATATGGATATTTGATATTTTTTTAATATTAATTAATAAGAAGCTTCTCCTAGGAAACTTTTAATTCTTTTTTAAACTTCATGCAATTTAATTCCACAATTTAATTTATAAATTAATTCTTTTTGCAAAATAAGCTTAAAACTAATTTAAACTTACTGAAGCTTAAAATACAAAAACTTTCTATAGGGACTTTTTATAGGGACTTTCTATAGTAAGTTTTTGTATTTTTAGTTTTTTAATTTTGAATCCCTTTTAAAAAAATTCACAAAAAGCTCATTATTTATAGCGATTATCCAAAATTCTGGAATTTATCCTTTAATAACCCTTTAAATGTACTCCTATTTTGTATGAATTTATTATTATTTTTGTATTTACTGAAGCCTTCAGTAGGTTTAATGTAATTTTAAGCATCTTTACTGAAAGAATTAATTTATAAATTGATATGTGGAATTAAATTGTGCGAAGTTTAAAAAATGCTTGAAAGTTTCAGGGCATCGACAGACTGTTGATGCCCTCAGAGAAGCATCTCAAAGCTTCTCAAATTAAGCTTCGAAGCTTAAATTTGCTGAGTTTTGCAGAAGAAAAAAACCTGTTGGTGCCCATTAATGTGACATTAGGCATAATTAGCATTTCCCTAATGGTTAGGAAAAACTTGTTCCTTGATTTTTAAGAGAAAAATCATTTATATAATTTACTAAATAAGTTTTATATTATAAAACTAATTTAGTGATACCATGAAACTAAATTATTACCTTATCTTTTTCACTTTTTCAGAACGTCGATTCATGTTAAAATAATATTTACGTTTTTAATATTAGGTTAATGTTGTCAGAAGAACAACAAAACTTTATAAAAAATTATTGAATGAGTATAAAAAACTCATTAACCTCGTTGAACAGTAGCTGATCTCGTTGAATAATAGTTCAAACCTCGTTGAATAAGTAACTTCAAGCTCGTTGATATAAAATCTTCAAATTGGGTTTAATTAAATCCCATTGGTTGATGGAAAATCAAAAGATCTTTTGGTTCTTCATTTATGTAACGGACGGTATATTTCACAAAATTTCATTCCCTCTTGGTCCTACGGATGTCTAATGGACGTCTGTTTTCATGTAGTTAAAACCATATAATAAAAGACCTCCGTAAGACGTCCGTAGGACGTACAACATGAAGAGGGGACGGACGGACGGAATTGTAACGTCCTCTAGACGTCGTGTGGACGACGTATGCCCACTGGGTAGCCTCATCATTTCGTACTTCAAAATCTTATTGTTTAAAACTTAGCAATGATGAGCCTTTACTTTTTATATTTAAAACTGATTTAATACAACGTTAACATTAACTAAAAGCCTGTTTTAGAAGCAGTGCTATTGATTATAACGTTGATACATAAAATTAAAATCTTTTTTGGCATCCAATAACAACCACATAGAATAATTGAAATTTTACATTTTTACTTTGTGAAAGTTTTACATACCGCATAATTTATAAATGTGTTTCTACTGTCATTTTTATAAATATAGTTTTTTAAAACCAATTCAGTAGTGGTTTTACAAATGATTTTTTATTTATCGTTTTTGTTAAATATAAATGTTAGATAGCTAATTGTTTGTTCGTAAATATTTTGAGCGTAATATATGATTCTAGAAGTAACACCTATTAAATGACAAAATTGTGGCTCAAGTAAGTTGAAAGTTTAAAAAAATTATTTTTTCATCAGTTCTTCCTTTTTTCCGCCCGTATGTTGTTCATTATTTGTTTATAAAACTTTATTATAATGAAAAGTTAGACTTTTTAAATTTAGAAAATATATTTTCTAAATATAAAGAAACAAAAAATTATTGTATGTTAATATACAATAACTTTTTATTTTTTTTTGTTTTCAAGTAATAAAATATAATAGTTAAATGAACAAAATTAATTTACTTAATTAAACAAAAATCTTCATAACAATGCTTTAAATAAAACCTTTACACTTTTAGACTTAGGAACGGAAAATATGGATAGGCGGTACGTAGTAAAGTTTTGAAATTTATATATTTCACATAATTTTAAGAAGAAACAAATTTTATTAGATGTTTAAATATAATTTCACTTTGGCCTTGTTTACACCCATATTCAAATTATATTAAAAGTGTTTTTATATTTATTCTCTAACGTATTACATAGCAAAGAGATCTAGATATAAAATACAACAACATTAAAATACAATAAATGTATTTTATATGAAAAAATGTTTTAATAAACCATTTGAGTAGCATAATATTTTAAAAAAAAATTTAATTAAAAGAGCATCATATTTTATCAATACTTAATAAACAGTATTTTTCATGTGGGTAATGTGTTTTAAAAACAAAGTTTTTGACGCAGTTAAATGTCAACAATATATTAACTTAATAATAAAAATGGTAACTTTTCTAAATGCTAAAAATATAACAATGTCTGATCTTAATTGCTTGGCATACTTTACTATGAAATTTTTTTTGTTGATGTATGTATAAACTAACTGATTATGTTATTTGTAAATAAATACGTATTTATTAAATTATTTGTTAGCATAGATTGGATTTAATGTCTATGATATGTATTTAAAATAATGGTGTACAAATTCATATAATTGTTCTGAATAAATTCTATTTTCATTATCAGTTATAGTACTTTTTAGAAATGGTAGAATAAAGTTAACTTCAATTTGATATTATCATAGTGTATTTATAAAACAATTTTGAAAATCGTAAATAATGTAACATATTAAAATTGGAATTCCATAACAGCAAATTCAATTTTACCAATAACTTTTTTCTCCAAAGGTAGCTTCTGAAGCTTTTTTGCTTAAAATTGTCTTATACATTTAATAATTTAATTACTAAAATAAAAATAAAAATTTATGTTACTTATCCTAAAGTCTGCGGGCACTGTTACCATAAAATCCAATGCTATGTAACCTCTCAAAATTATGTATTTTAGCTTAGATATTGCTCAATAGTTTTAATTATGATTTTCCAAAAGTTGCATCTTTCCAAATAATGTATACAAATCAGATACTAGAACTACTTCTATAAATGTGTCAGGATACTCGTGAAGATATAAAACTCTTGGACTATTACATATTTTATATTCAGCCATCATGGTATTGGTTTTCAAGTTATCGTGTTTTTATGTATTGATATTAAAGGAGACCTTGCGTTCGTTTACCTCCATTATCCAAAGATTCTCTTTTTCTTATCATAAACATCATAAAATGCTAAATGTTGAGCTGGAAAGAATTTTTATCATTTCGAAAACTAAGAGGATTTTTTAACATTATAGGATTTCCATTGTGTTCAAAGACACTTCTACACTAAATAAATATAGTTTAATTCCAGCATCATTGGAATCAGGTTCGTTACTAGTATTATTACGTGGATTAAAAAGATTTAAAGTAGCCTTAAACAAACATTGACCTGAGCCAAAAGCAACTCTTACAACTACAGAAAAAGAGTCAATATTTTCTTAAAAGATTACAAAATCATTAATATTCTTTATAAAAGCCATTGATTTTTTTACTGCATCACCATCAATAAAATTTCTTAACATCAAAAATAATCATTTAGTTTAGTTATAAAAGCCTCTATTTTTTCGAAACCCAAAGCGCACGAGAATACATTGAAAATCTTGGTGCACGAATTAATGTAAAAAAAATCAATTGATTGCTAAATGAAAAAGATTCAGATCTTGGTATAAAGTACAAATTTTACTTACAATACTTTAATGAAAACTTCTCCCATAGATTTGGTCGACACATGTCTAACTCGCGACAATGTATCCACAAAAATAAAATAACAAACTTATCAGAAAATGCAAAACATCCGGTAGTAACTCAGTGAATGATCCATAAAAGACTTGTCAAAAAATTTTACAACAAAATTTATTAGTTCAAGATCTTTGTGGGAAAAGAGATGATGTTGCAGCTATAACATTCTATTTTATGCAAAATCTACTAATGCCGCACATACATATACAAAGCACTTTTTACTTACGTCAACTATGGGTTCTCTGTTTTGGTATTAAGGACTTAAAAACAGGCAAATCAACGTTTTAAATGTATTACAAAGGAGTTGCTAACATAGGAGCCAAAGAGGTTTGTTCAATGTTATGCATCATATAAAAAATAATATTAAACTACATTCAAGTATTTAATTTTTTTTTTCCGACGGCTGCCCCGGTCATAAAAAATTTAAACATTGTTGAGATTTCTGTTGGCAATGACTGACTCTAAAAGATTTAAAAAATTTATCAGTATTTTCTCATACGTGGTCATTCGCTTTACCTAAATGATCGTGATTTTGGAGTCTTAAAAAAAATGTTGAAAAGCATGGTGGTATCTACGTTCCAGGAAAACACATTGACTTGGTTTCGAAATATATATATATATATATATATATATATATATATATATATATATATATATATATATATATATATATATATATATATATATATATATATATACATATATATGAATATATATATATATATATATATATATATATATATATATATATATATATATATATATATGTATGATATATATATATATATATATATATATATATATATATATATATATATATATATATATATATATGTATGTATGAATATATATAAGTTAAATATATAGGTATATAGTCATATAGTTTGCTTATTATTTAGTATTTTGTATTATTGTGCGACATTCATACACGTTAACTTATTCATAACAAGATTACCATGCATATTATATGAAAGTTTTAATCTGACACCAAATAAATATTATTATGGCCTCATTAATTCGACACTAAAAGCAAGCAGTAGCAATGATTGTGGCACTTATTGCGTCAGAAATCCATTTTGCATATTCGCTAACTACAATGATAACCAAAAAATATGCCAGCTTATATCAACAAACGTTGATTTGTTAAACATCAGAGATGATTCACTATGGGAAGTTTTAGCAACTGATTCTTCGAGTAATAAAAATGTAAGTTTCAATAAGTTCTTTTACTGTTATAATTTATATTAGATAGAGACTCTAAGGCTTTAAAGACAAGTTGTCTGTATTATATAGTGGCATACTAGAAGATTAATTAAACTTCAAAAGTAGGTATAGTAACCGCATACCGACTTGGAATAGAATTTTTTGTTATTTTATCACGTTTGTCTCGTTTTAAATTTTTTATCGATATCTAAAATGCTTGCAAAACGTTTTTAAATAAATATAAAATATTGATAACACTATATATATATATATATATATATATATATATATATATATATATATTATATATATATATATATATATATATATATATATATATATAAATGTATATATATCTTCTGATGGAAAAAAAAGTAAAACAATTGTAGCGAAGTTTTTTAATTACAAAGATAAATTTGCAGTGATAGATCGATTTATTAAACTAAAACTATGGAACAAAAAGCTTTACGTCAATAAAGTCTTTAGCGACAAAATGATTGAAATAAGAAAACGACTATTTAAAGAAGCGAACGATTTAAGATAAAAAGGTAAATTTGCTAAGGAAGTTTAAAATAAATTTATTACTCGTCATTTTTGATTTTCAAAAAAAAAAAAAAAAAATTTTTTATCAAATAGTTATAAAAATTAAAATGGATTCTAATTACCTATCCAATTTTGAATCAATCTCATGTAATTTATTTCAAACAAATGATTTAGTTTTTGATATTGATTCAGATCCAGACATAAATTACTTTAATGATTCAGTCGCATTGCAAAGTAAATGATCGTATTTTTATAACAAGAAAATAAAAGAATTATTACGATGGGATCATTTTAATGTTGTTGAACCTAATATTAAAAGCTTGAAAAAAAACTTTGACAACTTATGTAACATTGTAAAATTTTTAGCATAATATGCTTAACTGAAACTTGGTGTGATACTGATGACCCCAAATCTTACTTAAATCTCCATCTGGGAAGCTTTAAAATGATCCCGCTAGCACGAAAATCAAAAAAACGAGGCGGTGGTGTACTTTTTTATATAAAAGAAAATTTGCAGTATGTTATTGGGCCTGACATGAGTAACTCTGATGACAATAGCGAAGTCTTAACAATAGAGATTAAAACCAGTAACATACTTTTGAGTTGCAGTTATCGCCCGCCATCTGGCATATTAGAAAATTTAAATACATTCTTATTTAATAATATTTTAAGAAAAGGTTTAAAGGAAAAAAAAATTAATTATCTAATTCAAGACATAAATCTAAATTATTTTGAATATCAAACTAATAACAACATAAAAACATTTTATAACGGTTTATTTCAGAGCGGCGCTATTCCATTAATAAACAGACCAACAAGAGGAACAGAAACATCAGCTTCTGTAATAGATAACATAATAAAAACTGATATCTTCAACAATTCGCTTAAAATAGGTTTTATAAAAAACTTCCCTATTTTCTTTTCTCTAAATCTTGTTACCGAAATAATACAATAACAAAAACAAATTTTATTCAAACGCTTTTTCAATGAATCAAATACCGAATCATTTAACGATTAACTATCCTTACTTAACTGGAAAAATATCGACTCTACATTAGAAGCAAACGTAGTCTATAACACATTCTACGAAACATTTTATGATATCTATGACGCAAATTTCCCGAAAATCAAAATAATGAAATCAAATAAAGCCTTAAATCACCTTGGATAAATAAAGACCTCTGAAAGTCCTTAAAAGTAAAGCAAAAACTTTATATAAAATACTTAAAAACCAAAACAATTGAAAACAAAACAATATACATAAATTGTACTAAACAATTTGAAAATAATAAAAAAAATGCAAAAAAAAAAAAAAAATACTATTTTAATTTGCAAGAAAAACATAAACTCAGTTCAAAACGCACTTGGCAAATTATAAGTGAAATCACGAACAAACAAAACTTAAAATTGTGTTCTCTACCTAAAGCTATTTAATTAATGATAAAATAATAGATGATCCTAAAGAAATAGCAAATGAACTAAATAAATTCTTTGTTTCTGTTGGACCTAATCTTTCCAAAAACTTTCCAATTATGATAAATTAAATCAATAATTATATATTTCCTCAAACCTCTTGTCTAAGTGCCTTTGAACTATCATTTTCAGAATTTGAAAATGCTTTTAAAATGCTTAAGCCCAATAAAGCAAATTGGCCCAGATAATTTTAATGGAAACATTGTTATTAAGTCATACGATAGTATAAAGAATACTCTAATTAAAGTTCTTAATTGTTCAATAAGTCAAGGAATTTTTCCGGCCCACAAGAAGGTTGCAAAAGTAACCCCTATATATAAAGGTGGTGAACTAACAAATGTTGGGAATTATCGTCCAATTTCGGTTTTGTCAGTTTTTTCCAAAATTTTTGAAAGAGTTTTATTTGATCGAATTTTAAACCATCTCTCTGAAAATAATATACTTTACAACAATCAGTACGGTTTCAAAAAAAATAACTCTACAGAACAGAACACGCAGTACTTTAACTCACAAGAATAATTACTGACTTCTTCGAAAAATCACAATTTACTTTAGGTATTTTTATAGACCTATCTAAAGCTTTTGATACTATTGATCACGGCATTCTATTAAGTAAATTAAAACAATACGGTATCACTGGTAAAGTCTTAATGTTATTAAAAAGTTACTCAAATAATCGTAAACAAATCATGCATATTAATACACACTCAGCAACTACTGCTTTAGATATATCCTGTGGAGTCCTCCAGGGTTCCATACTTGGACCACTGTTATTTCTAATTTATATTAATGACCTCTATAAAACTTTTAATTTAATGACAATGATGTATGCTGACGATGCTAATCTTTTCTTATACCGAAATTACATCAATAACTTATTTAATGACATGAATGTAGAACTAAAGAAAATATCTGACTGGATTAAATCAAATAAGCTTTCACTTAATATTGAAAAAACTAAGTGGATTTTTTTTCATTCAGCTTATAAAAAGCATATACTACCAAGTGAAATGCCGCCGCTTTTTATTGTTAAAATTAATATAAAAAGAGTAACCTATACTAAATTTTTAGGTATTATTGTGGATGAAAATCTTTCATGGAAAAACTACATTAGAAATCTAAATACTAAAATTGCAAAAAGTATTAGGATTCTATATAAAACAAGAAGGATTTTAAATAAACATACTTTAATTCAACTATATTACTCATTAATTCACTGCCATATTAACTATGCTAATATTGGCTGGGGTACTACCAACAAAATTAAGTTAAAGCCTTTGCTTTGTCAACAAAAGCGTGTAGCACGTCTTATTAATTTTAAAGATCGTTTTACTCGTGCCAGGCCATTATTATTAAACATGAATATTCTTAATATTTACGAAGCAAATATATTTAACGTTCTTTGTTTTATGTTTAAATGCAAAATTAATACTTTTCCTGTTTCTTTTCTTAAGTTATATTCAATGAAAGAAAAAAATAAATATATATTAAGAAATAATAAACATATCCAACAACCAATTTTTCAATAAAATATAGGCAAATTTTGCATTCAATAACGTGGAGCCTTTTTATGGAACAAAATAGTTTTAAAACATTTTGATTTTTCGCATTATTAGAATTATTTTTCTTTTAAAAGAAAATTAAAAGAAGTAATTTTTTCAATTGATGACACATTTTTATATTTTTAAATTATTACCTATTCCACAAAATAATTAAGGAATTGTAATCTGAACGACAGTATTTTTGAGCATACATGTTATATATTATATATTGACATTACATATATAGTGATGAAAACTGATGTAATTTTTCGAGTTTTTATTTGCTTTTTTTGTTTGTTTGTATTTGCATAATATTAAATATTGCGAAATGTTATACAAATATTCACATATATTATAAAATATTGTTAAAACTTGCTTAACATCTAAAGTGTATTATAATATATAAACGCATTTAAATATTGTTTTAAGTATTTGTAAATTTATGTATTTTGACTCTTAATATAGATTGTAAAGGGCTTCATGATAAGATCGTGTGATCTTTTGGAAGTCCTACCAGTAATATATTCAATGTAAATTTACCTTGTACATATTATTCTGGAAAAAAAAAATATATATATATATATTTATATATATATAAATTTATATATATATATACATATATATATGTATATATATATATATATATATATATATATATATATATATATATATATATATATATATATATATATATATATATATATATATTTATCTAATATATATATATATATATATATATATATATATATATATATATATATATATATGAAGACCACACGGGTAAAACCACAGATGTCCACTTTTTGAAAATTTCAAGTTTTATATATTTTTATGATATTTTAGTATTAACCTATTTTAATTTAAAAATTCATAACAAAAAAACTATGTTTTAAGGTTCTATGGTCATTTAAAAAAAAGGGCAACTTTGAAACAACCACTGTTGTCCAATGTTTACCGCGTAAAAAACAAGTTATTTTTAACTAAACCAATGATAATAAAAGCGTAAGTCACATGACTAACTTTTCGGATGAAGTAAACAACATTACGTTCACAGAAAAACATTTTAAAAAACATTTTGATATTTTAAAATGTTTTTCTGTGAACGTGAATCGAATTGTTTTTATTAAAAGAGGGGGAGGGGGCGGTGGCTTTATTATCCCATCACACACTTAGTACGTTGTAGTTGTAAATTACAATGTGTTACCATCTACCTTAAAAAAAAATAAGTGCTCTAAAAGGTTACAATCTAACGTAATTTACGAGTTGATGAGTTTACAACGGAAAAACAACAGATGTCCAAAATGAGTGTCTTGTTTTCAAAAGAACATTGTGAATAAATAATACTTGTATTTAGCACAAAAACTGCGTTTTTATATTGTATAAGGACTAAAATGTCAGAAAAATGTACTTTTAATTAAATAAATTATTAATAAACAGATATCTAAA